CAAGAAAAACAGACATATTAAAAGAAGTTCTGCCAGAAGGAAAATTATAACAGGTAGAAATTTAGATTTATATAGAAGAACGAAGAACATTAGAAAAGATAAATATATGTATAGATACAAAGACATTTATTCTATTTTAAAAGATATTTCTAAAAGATTGGTGACTGAATAAAGGAAAACTAACACTCTAGATCAAATGAAACTAATAGACATATACAGACCATTCCATTCAACAGCAGCAGAATGTGCATTCTTCTCAAATGGACATGAATCATTCTCTAGGACAGATCCCATTAGGCTACAAACAAATCTGCACAAATTTAGTAGGACTGAAATAATATGAAGTATCTTTTTTATCACAATGGGATGAAACTAGAAATCAATAACAGAAGAAATCCCCAAAAATACACAAATACGTGGAAATCAAACAACATGCACCTAAACAACCAATGAGTAATAGAAGGAAATAAAAACTACTTTGAGACAAATGAAAATGGAAACACAATATGTCAAAACCTGTGGGACAAGGGCCGGGGATTTAGCTCAGTGGTTTCGCTGCCTGCTGCGCATGCACAAGGACTGGAGTTCAATACCCGGTACCAAAACAACAACAACAACAAAAACCCTGTGGGATGCAGCAAAACCAGTCATTGGAGGGAGGAATTCATAATGATAAATGTCTGTGTCAAAAAAGAAGATGGGTTGAGGGTGTAGCTCACTGATAGAGTATGTGCTTAGAGTGTGCAAGGCCCAAGTGTGCACACAGACACACAACACAAAATAAAGCAATTCAACCCTTATACTTCAAAGAACTAGAAAAAGATCAGATTAAGACCAGCGTTAGCAGAAGAAAGGAAATTACAAAGATCACAGCAGAAATAATTAAAATAGAGACTAGAAAAACAATAGGAAAACCCCTTAAGAGTTGGTTTTTGAAAAGATAAAATCACAAAACCCTTAGCTAAATTAGAAAAAAAGAGAAAATACTTAAATATATAAGATCAGAAATGAAAGAGGAGACATTTCAACTGACACCATCAACATAACAAAAGAGCACAAGAAAATACTACCAGCCAACAAATTTAGAAATAAACAAATTCCTAGACACACATAATCTACTAAGACAAAATCATGAAGAAAGGTGATAGAGGACAGCTCAGTGTGAACTGGCTTTAATGAGCACTGCCAAAAAACAGAACAAAACAAAACCAACAATAACTGAGCAAACAAAGCAATAATAAATAACAGACCAGCAACAAGTAAGGAGATTAAATCAGTAATGATTAAGAAGAAGAAGAAGAGGAAGAGGAAGAGGAAGAGGAAGAAGAAGAAGAAGAAGAAGAAGAAGAAGAAGAAGAAGAAGAAGAAGAAGAAGAAGAAGAAGAAGAAGAAGAAGAAGA